CCTCAGGCAAAACAACTGTGGCCAGGATCTACGCTAAATTCCTTACCTCGCTGGCAGTCATTGCAGGCAGTGAATTTGAAGAAACCACAGGCTCGAAGCTGGCTTCCATGGGTGTGACTGGTTGCCAGACTCTGATTGAAAAGGTTCTTGAAAACGGAGGGGGCGTCATCTTCATTGATGAAGCGTATCAGCTGTCTTCAGGCAACAGCCCAGGAGGTCGCGCTGTTCTCGACTTCCTCCTCGCCGAGGTCGAAAATCTTACAGGAATGATTGTTTTTGTCCTTGCTGGCTACAACAAGCAGATGGAGACGTTTTTTGCGCATAATCCTGGCTTCCCTAGTCGATTCCCGCTGGAGATGAAGTTCGAAGACTACGATGACAAAGAACTCTTGAGAATATTGGAGCGTCAAATCAGTAAGAAGTTTGGCGGACGAATGACAGTCGAAGACGGCCTGCAAGGGCTGTTCTGCCGGATCGTTGCCCGCCGTCTCGGGATGGGCCGTGGTACGGAGGGGTTCGGCAATGCTAGAGCTGTCGAAAACGCGTTCTCCAGGATTTGCATGCGACAAGCCGACCGTTTGCTGAGCGAGAGACGCAAGGGACTGCGACCAGATGACCTCAAATTGAGTAAGGAAGACCTCATCGGGCCACAGCCGACCAATGCGCTTCAGAACTCTAAAGCATGGGGGAAAATGCAAGGTCTGGTTGGCCTTTCTTCGGTCAAAGAGTCTGTACAAATGCTTTTGGACACCATCCAGGCGAACTATCAACGTGAAATGGTTGAAGAGCCTGTAATACAGTTCTCGCTCAACCGCGTCTTCTTGGGCAGCCCAGGCACAGGGAAGACCACGGTGGCGAAGATTTATGGTCAAATTCTAGTCGACCTGGGGCTGCTCTCTAGTGGAGAGGTTATTGTCAAAAACCCCTCGGACTTCATCGGTGCTGTCATGGGCCAGTCAGAGCAGCAGACTCGAGGTATCCTCGCAGCCACGGTTGGCAAAGTCCTCGTCATCGACGAAGCATACGGTCTCTACGGCGGAGGTGGTACGCAAGGTAGGGGAACTACAGACCCTTACAGGACTGCCGTCATCGATACCATTGTAGCTGAGGTCCAGAGCACCCCTGGTGACGACAGATGTGTCTTACTCCTCGGATACAAGGATCAACTGGAGGAAATGTTCCAAAACGTCAACCCTGGCCTCAGCAGACGCTTCCCGCTGGCGTCTGCCTTTGTGTTTGAAGACTTTGACAATGACGATCTTCGAAAGATCCTAGATCTTAAGTTGAAGCAACAAGGGTTCAAGGCCACGGACCAAGCAAAAACTGTCGCCATCGAGGTGCTGGACCGGGCCCGCAACCGACCCAATTTTGGCAACGCTGGCGAGATTGACATACTACTTGACCAAGCCAAAGGGAGCCACCAGAAGCGATTGTCTCTCGGCCAAACAGAGCACAGAGTGACTCTTGGAGCTGTTGACTTTGATGCGGGCTTCGAGCGCATGCAACGTAGTCAGACAAACATCCCAATGCTGTTTGAGGGCACTGTGGGCTGCGAGAAGATTGTCGCAATCCTACAAGGCTATCAAGACATCGTTCGTACGTCGAGACTTCTGGGCATGGATCCAAAAGGGCAAGTTCCATTCAACTTCCTATTTCGAGGGCCGCCAGGGACAGGCAAAACGTCGACGGCCAAAAAGATGGGGAAGGTCTTCATGGACATGGGCCTTTTGGCTAGCGCAGATGTCCTCGATTGCTCTGCCACGGATTTAATCGGACAGTATGTTGGGCAGACAGGGCCCAAAGTGCAGCAGCTCCTTGACAAAGCTCTGGGGCGCGTGCTTCTGATTGACGAAGCCTACCGTCTGGCAGATGGCCAATTTGCAAAAGAAGCTCTCGACGAGTTGGTCGATGCCGTCACCAAAGACAAGTATGAAGGAAGGCTAGTAATAATTCTGGCCGGCTACGAGAACGATATCAACCGCTTGATGAGCGTCAACCCTGGTATGACAAGCCGCTTCCCTGAAACCATTGACTTTTATAGCCTCGACCCAGGCAGTTGCCTTGAGCTATTGACGAGAACGCTTCAAAAGCAGAAGCAAAGGCTGAAGGGAACCAAGGGTGATCTCAATTTCGGCTGCTTAGAGCGACCGTCAAGGCGGTTTGAAGTGGATGCCCTGCGCTTGTTTGACGGTCTGTCAAAACAAACATCCTGGGCGAGCGCACGCGACATCGAGACCCTTGCCAAGGCTGTTTTCAATGTTGGCCTCCGGGGTCTCAAAGAAGGCGGCGGTCACTGTATCCTAGTCTCAGAGGATGTCGTTCTCGGCCAGCTGCAGAAGATGCTGCACGAACGTCACAGCCGTGAAAAGCGAGTGTCCCATCAACTCACCACAGGATTAGCAGATCTCTCTCTCCTTTCTCCACCAATCGCGGAGCCGACGTTGATGCACCAGCATGAAGAAAGGACAACGGAGACATCGCAACAGGGCGCCAAGGAGGACGACTTGACCCCTCCTTCGAGCCCAGGGCCCAACCTTCGCTTCCAGAATGACAGCATTCGCGATGCTGGCGTGAGCAATGAAGTTTGGGAGCAGCTGCAGAAGGATGCTAAGGCGGAGGGCGATCAGGAAGAGCACTACCAGTCGATGCTCGAGGCGAAGAAAACTGCAGATGAAGGAGAATTGGACCGCATCATGGGTGAATTGATTGGAGCAGAGAATCGCCGCCGGCAAGAGGCTGAAGCCAGAAGGAAATTAGCGCTTAGTGGGCGTTGCCCTGTTGGCTACGCCTGGATCAAGCAGGCCGGAGGCTACCGATGTGCTGGGGGGTCGCATTTTGTGCGTGATTTGGAGATGGCATGATCCCTAATTATTTGACCCGTTAATGAGAAAGTAGGAATAAGGTGGTTAGATCACACCATACTGCTGGATGTGCAGTGCCAGTGTCATCGGCAAGGCTCTTTCTTCCTTGGCGAGGCGGGTCATCAGAGTTTGTGCTACAGGCCTACGCGAGACGCAAGAATAACGAGTCTTGGGTTAGAAGCCCCCGGAACGATAATCTAGACAGTGTCTATCAACGCCACCCGAAATGAATGCTAGGCCCTTGCCGAGTGCCTTTCCTGCTGGGGCTCGGGGCTCTCGGCTCTCGGGGCTCTCGGGAGTCGGAACTTCAGAGCGCGGTGCACCCACAGAGGGCCGGCCGGCCCAGTCATACGAAGCGCACCCAGGGACTGGATTGATGACTTAGTAGCGAGCATCACCATAGTGTGTTGCCATCGTGCGCGTAGAAAATTGAATAAAAACTTGCGGGGGACCCCATGGGGAACACCAAAGGCATGTGCATGCAAGACACCTTCTGTCAATATCACAAGAGATATATTTGAGACACGATTGTAGAATGGCCACCAACGCGAAATGGCACGAGCTGCCTAGTGAGAACCCGCCCATACGATGTTTATTTGACGCGGCTTGTCGCTGACTTATTACCAGACAATACCAACCCCATCTGGTACAAGGATGCAGGCCTACGTCGCAACGTAGCCTTTGGTTTGGGACTTTGTCTCGTTATTGCCACGAATGTAAGTTGGTAATGCGACTCTCGGTAGCTAAGACTTGGGACTGACTATTATCGCTGTTAGGGATGTAAGTTCAAGTGCCGTATACGCACTTGCTCTGCCCATCACTAATCCACTTCGAGATCAAGCAAGTCTTTTGACCGGCTTTCAGGCCATGCCCTCTTGGCAGAAGTAAGTGCTTTCTCTGTGCGCTGTATTCAATGACATCGTGCTGATACTGTTCTCAGATACTTCAATCGGCCAACTGGTGCCCTGCTTGGTATCTACGCTGCATCGTTCTTCTTGCCATCAATTTTCACTTCATTCATTGGTGATTATCTCTCCACCAAACTGGGCCGACGCTGGTGCATCCTTATTTCTACTGTTGTTTTGATCATTGGGGCTCTTGTCAACACATTTTCCAATTCAATTGGCATGTGGTGCGGCGGTGAGATCTTCTACTGTATGACCCCCTTGTTCGCATCGATACTGATTGTTCAGGCCGTGCGATTATGGGAGCCGGTGTCGGAATGATCAAAGTCGCGACCCCCGTGCTCATCCAAGAAATCAGCCACCCGCGTCTCCGTCCAATTCTCGGCTCTTGTTACCAAACCTTTGCGTATTTCGGCAGCTTCTTCTCAGCTTTGATGACTTGTGAGTAGGAATGAAGGCCTTTGTCAATGAAGTGAGGCCTAATTCTCTTATCCAGTCGCTGGCCTGTACGTTCCTGGCAATTGGGGATGGCGCTTCCCTTCGCTGCTGCAAATCCTTGGTCCTATCGCCGTCATGTTGGTTGCAATTTTCTGCCCGGAATCACCACGCGTAAGCTCATCTCAACTTTTCATTGTACCATTCTGACATCAGAAACCAGTGGCTCATCAAGAACGATCGGGCGGACGAAGCTCGGAAGATTCTGGCCGACTTGCATGCTAACGGCGATGGAGACGATGCCCTCGTGAAGTTTGAGGTGGAGCAAATCACCACGGCTTTGCAGCGCGAAATGTCCCAACGACAAGCGGGTCTCTTGGACTTTTTCCGCTCTCCTGGAAACAGGCGACGACTGGCTACGCTCGTTGCTCTCGCATGCTCTTTGAACTGGGTGGGAAATGGCATCATTACTTAGTAGGGTTTCCCAAAGTTCTATCATGTTCTTGGCTGACCCTTTAGTTATCTCGCCCCCATTCTGAGGTCTGTGGGAGTAACTTCTCCGGTACAAATCACGCTCATCAACACGGGTCTTGGTATGTCTCCCTCCATCACGGCTGGTACATTCACTGACTTATCTACAGCTCTATGGAATCTAATACTCGCTGGTATGGCTTCTGTTTATTGTGATAAGGCGGGTCGTCGACCTCTTTTCCTGGTTGCTACTGTCGGCATGCTATGCTCGTACGCCATTGTTATGGGGTGTCTGCTGGTTTGCGAACACCAAGCAGCGGTCGCTTGGGACAGCCGTTATTCCCATTTTCTTTTTCAT